AGGAAGACATGCCGAATTATATATAAAAGGCTATATTAATACGAACCCCCTTCAAGACTTAATCAAGTTTTAATTTTAAAGCATGCTTTTTTATTTTGTCATTGAAACCCACATATAAAAGTGATACATAATCAAAAAATAAATCCTCTCTTATTTAAAAAAAAAATATACTATTTATTTGACTAATCACTTATCAACCTAAAGGGAATCGGATCGTCTAGCCTTATCTTGAAACTCTTATTTCATTGATCATTTTATTTTATTTACTAATATTATATATATTTTTCATTTTAAAATTAATATCTTTATAATCAACTAGTTCATATTATATTTTTAGGCAAGGCCTCGTATTGGCCCACAACTGGTAGCTAGTGTAATGGCTGCTGCAGCTGCTGGTGGAGGGCATATCTCAGCTCATGGGTGCCTTATTAATGGATCTGATGTCGCTACTTCAGGTAGCCAAAATACTGGCAAAGTTTCATCAGATTGCCCGAAACATTACCATAAGCAAAATCTTCGCACCAAAAACACAGCAAATGGAAATACGCCGCATTCAAATTTTGATCTAAACTCTATTCCAAGTGAAGCTAACAATGTCGAAAGTAAAGCAACTAGCGTTAAATTAATCTCATCTTTAGCCTGTCCACAAGCTTCATCATGCAGGGCTGGCGTGATCGAGCTTCCTGCATCGCTTGACATACCGGCGTTGATTGCAATAATGAGAGATATCGCCTATGGATGCAGATATTTAGAGGAGCAACATTTTGTTCACAGGTTTGCATATCCTAATAAGGCTTTAAGGTTTCTTTGAAAAGTAATTAAGTTATGCACTACTTGGTATACACGATCTATTTTACACTTTAATTCTTCCATTCAAATGTAATTTTTCGTTTATTCAATAATGCCACAATTGAATATCATCTTATAGGGACGACGTGAATACTGGATCGAGTAATGAGTTTGTATTTTGAGACTCCATACAGTGTCGTTAATTGAAAATTTCATTTATTATCAAGGGCTAAATGATCATTGCCTATATTTAAATCTCGATAAATTGTATAAATGGTGCCTAACAGTATTTCTCCAAAATATATTTCATAGATAAGTGTTTGTTATTTAAATCCCACTTAATTTCTATTTAGTCTTATAAAAATTCTACTTTAAACACGAATCTTTGGCCATCCTTCATACTCTCTTATTAATCGCTTATAATCTATCACTTATGCTCGTAGTATCTTCCTTACAGGGATATAGCTGCCAGAAATTGTCTTGTCAGTCACAACCACCCATCTGGTCGCATTGTAAAGCTATGTGACTTTGGGTTGGCCAGAGACATCTACAAGAACGACTATTACCGCAAGAGAAACGAGCCCAAATTGCCAGTCCGTTGGATGTCGCCAGAAGCCATAAGAGAGGGCTTGTTTACAAGTAAATCGGATGTATGGTAGGTTAATTTTAAAATTTACTCTTTGATATGATTTAAAATACAATAAAATCAATTTTACTTTAATGGTGTAATACATTTGCAAATAGGTATCAGATAGAAACCTATATATGATGTTTTACAAAGAAGGATGTGGTCTGCCTCTACAATTCCAAAGATGGAGGCCCCTAAACAATGTAAAAAAAGGAAAATTAATATTATCAATTTTAAACGGCTGAGCACAATATTGTGGGGCCTAAAATAGTAAAAAATCGTTGAAAGATGGCACAAAATATAAAATTCTAAACTCCGCGTGCCACGGCGGAATGGAGAAATAGAAGAAAAAGAACGTGACCGATTTAAACAGAATGTTAGCTATTTGATATACCCTTGCGTAGTTTTCAATGTCAACTTCTGATTTGACGATGCAGTTTCAAGCTTTAATTGGACCACACGAAATAAAGAGACAAGATTAGTCACGTACTCAGGTGGTCTCTGTGCCAAAATGATGTTGAGCCATGGCTACGTATGGGGCGTAACAAAAAGTAAACAACGAATAGGAAATTTGGGTATAGGTCACTAGATATACTTACAATATAGAGTACTTGTATATCATTCAAATAAATGGCGAATTATACAACATTTCAATATATATCTTAATTGAGAGCTTATAAACCCTAAAAATAGCCTATTTTAATTACAAAAACTTACTCTTGTAAAAGATTCTTAACATATTTTGTTGCTTGCCCTAGGTCAGAAGGGTATTCGATTGGGAATAGTTTTACATGTACGATTAAAGTATATCATATAAGTAAGGCTAATTTTTTGATTACACAAATATCTTTTTTATAATATTCTGGTTTGAAAATTGTGAGAGAACTAGGTTTTTTTAGGAAAATTTCAATGTCGTAAGAGCTCATAACACATGGCACAATACATAAATAAATAAATATTTATATATAATAGTCTGCTTTTTAAAAAAGTAATGCTTTATGTGATCATTTTAGACATTTTATAGTGTAGTGATTTTTATCCACTATCAGTCCGATTACATATCTTACAGTTATCACTACTCATGCAAACACTCGCCGGATCCAGACTCATTGGCACTGTGTGTCGTGGGGTCTAGGCAAACCGAGTCACCGCATCACCGTTAAACCAATCAGAAAGTGGCCTTAACAGTGCTCAAGAGTATGCTTAAGGCATTGACTCCCTATACTGGGCCTCCCACAACATCGCTCCACTGGTGAGCTGTCTTTATCCTCTGTAACCGAACTCAGCCCTCGTGCACCAACGACACGCATTGACGTCTGTGCTTCTTTACCACGTCCTGATCCTCTCCTATAAAGCACTTCGTGATTTGTTTTGTTCATTTACAATAGACTGGTGTATTCAATCTGGTAGTGATAAGCCGAGCGTATATTTATAGTGCATTTTCGTGATTCACTAAACTGGTGAGCCCGACAGCCGAACC